TAGATGACTAGAGGGACAACTTGCCATAGTTATGTATATGTTCCCAAAGTGAGGCCTAGAGATTGGCTAAAAGCTGGAGGAAAAAGGACAGAAGAGTCGCATAGGCGCACATACAAGACAAAGTCGTACAGGCTGCATGACAGAAGGCCGCAACAGTTACGAGATCAGAAGAGTTCCGACCACAGGTCGTGGTGTGAGAAAGAGGCCTAAAGGGGGGAATGCCCTGGCCTTTGGATTTGTTCATAGAGCAGTGGCCTAGAAGACAAGGACAGTATTAAGATATTCCTAAAAGCTATAAGTTATGAAACTGATAAGTGCATCAGTCAACATTCGAGGACGAAGGGGGGAATGATGTTACACCCCATGTTTTCGTACGTGAGAGTACGTCGTAAGTCATTTGATGTAAGATCTGAAATGAGATCATCTTTGAAAGTACATAAAGTAAGTTAATCATGTTAACTTGGAGGTCATAAATATTTAAGATCATGGACTGCAAGTACCAAGAGGGTTGAAAGGCTTAGAAGCTAAACCAATTGAAGAAAATATGTTTCGTTGAATGTCGACAAGTTGGGAAAGTTATAACATGTACTTTTGGGGTGATAATAGGGTGCTTAACACGATAAGCAGGTTATGTTATGATTTATCTTAGTATTATGATATTTGTGTAATACATTTTGAATTAAAGCGAGTTGTGGAACAATAGTTGGCAAAGGTCATCACAAGTTACATTCATAAATATGCTGAAAATTAGGTCAAATATAGCTGAGCATTTCTCCCAACGTACATGGAATTACGGGATGATCTACCTACCAAATTGAAGATCTATGAGTCTAGTTTCCAACGATGTAAAAATTTCCTTGATAACACATTGGAAAAGAGAGATATTCACGTTTTTGCGAGACTATGCAGACTGGTAGATGACAAGTAGGTGCATCACCTACTTGCCAAAAGGAGAGGCCTCAATTAAAAGCTCCAAGGTAGGCAAAAGAGCCCTTTTAAGGGATGATTTCCTTCAGATATTACACTCATAATAGATAAAAAAATCAGATGTACACCCCAGCAAAATCCTCCCAAACATTCAACCCAAAACCCTAAGTAATTTTCTCTACTTTTCAAGTTCTAGTTGGAGAAAAGCCTAAGGGTTGAAGAATCAAGATAGGAGATGAAATATTCACCAAATATGGTAAGTATACTGCCCTTTCTAATCCACTTTTTATGCTGTTAAAGCATTGAAATTCATTCAATAATTGTAAGAACTCACGGGGGGGTGATCGGAGCCGTGATTTCGAGTTGTTCAACTTGTTGTGGACTGTTTTGTGGGCTGTTTCATGTTGCTGTTGGATTGTCTCTTTTGCTGCTGTTTTTGTGGAGTTTTGGAGGATAAAGAGTGTGGAAAAACACCACATAATGGCAGGGTGGTTGTCTGGTCGTCGTCGTTACATTTTTGGGTTGTTTATCACTACTATGGTTGTCGTTTTGTGAATGGAGTGATAGGGGTATGTTGGGCTGTTTTGTGGTATTTTGTGATGGATATAAGGTTGGAAAATGATGTATATATGTTGTTATTTTTGTGTTCTTGAGTTGTTGGTGTTATGTCGAATTAGGGGAAAGTAAAGATTATAGGGGAGATGCTGCCCATTTTGTTACAAAATAAGCTTGTCGTTCATTGTGTGATAGTTTTACCTTCCATAACTTGATGATAGTATTATTATCGTTGTTGTAGATTAAGGGGCAACAAGATGATCTTAACGTGGTTATTGGAACTATTGTGATAAGGTATGTTAAGGCTAAACCTTTCTTTCTTTGTGGCATGATCCAGTAACTACATGTGTTTGATAACGAGACATAAAGAGAAGTTCATATCCCTGAATTTATGTACATTTTCCTAGTCTCATAAGTTACAGCATTCTCCCCTATCGGGACTTCATATTCAGTTTAATTTTGTCTTCTGTCAGCCAAGAGAGCAGAGAGTCTATATATGTACAGTATTACAGTATTTTCACCACGATCGAGCTATAATCGATGGGCAGTTCCCTATTGGGCAACCTCTAATCAGATGGTGAGTTATACACCGAGCCTACTGTGGCCGAGCGCCTATGAGCAAGCCCAAAATGGCAGAGATACAGAGCCTAGTATGGCCGAGCACCTATGAGCGAGCCTACTACGGCAGAGCAGTTACATATACTGAGCCTTATAAGGTCGGACATATATTTTACTTACTATATTGAGAGAGTTGAGTCAGCATCAGCAGGTAAGCATATGTTCAGATTGTCTTTGACTCTCAGTTACTTTCAGTTATTCTATTATCAGTTCAGTTTCAGCTTTCAGTTATTCTGTTGCCTTACATACTCGGTACATTCTTTCGTATTGACGTCCTTTTTGTCGGGGACGCTGCATTTCATGCCTGCAAGTCCTCATTAACAGTTGGACAGACCCTCTCAGCAGACAGAGTCAAACATCAGCTTGGTTGGTAAGTCCACTTCCTCGGAGTTACCGGGTCTAGACCTTGGAGTCCATTTTATATATACATGTTTGATGGGTAGATCGAGGCCCTGTCCCGATCATGGTACAGTTCAGTTATTCTAGAGGCTTGTCGACGAGTCCTGTATACTTTTATATCAGTAGATGTTCATGGCGGCTTAATCGGCCGACACAGTTATATATATCAACTTTTGGGTATGTTTACCCCACAAATAAGAGAGACATTATTTTCAGACCATTCAGAATATGGCCTCATCGGCCTAATTTGAGGGTTACCCCTCCAGAGTTCGCAGTTACAGAGTGGTATGCTCGGGTCGAGTACGGCACCGGGTGCCGGCCTCTTCAAGTTTGGGGTGTGACACCTATGTACAAAGTTTGAACTATAGATTTTTCCTTTGTCCCCCAAGCCCTTTTTTCCCGTAATTATTTGCACCCATATTAGTAAAAACCTCTCTCAAGAGCGTAGTACTTAGAGAAATAGGCTTTAACCTATACGAAATGGCCATGTGTGAATCTCAAAGCTAACTTTGAAGAGCTCTTCTTCAAAATATAAAAGACTCTTTATCCCATTTTTAGCAGCCATTTTCAAGAGCTTCGAAGCTATGTTTGTGTCTAAATTTTTCTTAGTTTGAACAAGTAAGATAATTTTTTGTATAAATTCCTCCCTTTGATATCGTATTGTAATTTTAGGGTTTGAAATTTTTTTCCCCAATTTCTATATATGAAATTTTAGGTTAGGAATGCCAGATACCAAGTTGAATAAATTGCGCATAGATGAAGACAATCCAATGCTCAATGGTGAAGTGCGATGCAAACATAGCATTTTTGTCACGACCCAAATCTCACATATCGTGATAGCGCCTATCACAATACTAGGCAAGCCAACTTTCACAATAAAACTACGCATTTTTAAATTTGGAAAATATAATAATATAAGTTCAAGAGAAAATCTCATAAGTACTGATAAGATAATACCGTGACCCAGTACAATATTCTCCAAAATTCGGGTGTCACTGAGTACATGAGCATCTATATAATAACGTGGTCTGAAACACTACCTAGGAGGGTAGAACAGTATAAATAAGACTAAAAGATAAAGGAGGAGAGTCAAGGACTGCGAACACCAAAGCAGCAACCTCAATAATCTCCGAAATAGTAAAACCTTCAAATTTGCGAACACCAAATCAGCTACCTCAATTCTCACTCAACACACTCAATCACTCAGTACTGTACAGTACCCACAGTGGCGTGGAACCCGATCCCATCATACGTCAATAGAACTTATGCTCGCTGCTGGTATGTCAGACTTCGGAGGAGCGGGTCTTGCCCAAGGGCTAATAAAACCTGTTGCGGCATGTAGCCCGATCCCATCATGAATCAATAATGCATGTTGCGGCGTGCAGCCCGATCCCATCATGAGTTAATAATACCTGCTGCGGCGTGCAGCCCGATCCCATCAATATCACTCACAAACAGCCCCTCGGCCTCACTTAGTCATCAATCTCTCCAGTCTCTTGGGCTCACAACACTCATGTCAAGCAGCCCAAATCAATGATACATGATGTGACAATATATGATAACAGAGACTGAGATATGATATGAAATGTTGAATGCGACTGAGTACATAACTACAATTAAGCAAATAACTCAACAGCAAAGAGCGATCGTTGTAGGCCCCAATAGCACCAGCACATAGCCTAAACATGGTTTCCAACTTAAATTACTGCTCAAATTCTCTAACACATAGAGTACAATAATAATATTCAGATAAGATGACTACATAGTTCCACGGAATCGACTGAATCACCATTATTAAGGTGCACGCCCACACGCCCGTCACCTAGCACGCGTGTCACCTCAACACCAATCACATAACACGTAATTTTAGGGATTCATACCCTAAGAACCAAGTTTAGAAGTGTTACTTACCTCAAATCATGCAAATCTCTACTCCAATAAGTCATTGCCTCGCGAATCGGCCTCCGAACGTCTCACGTCTAGACACAAATAACTAGATACATTCAACACAAGCTATTGGAATTAATTCCATATGAAAATGATAAGTTCTTAATCAAAAGTCAAAAATTCAACCCCGGGCACACAAGTAGGAATCCAATAAAATTTACCAAATCTGAACACTCATTTAACCATGAGTCTAACCATACCAAATATACTAAATTCCGACACCAAATCGTCACTCAAATCCCCAAATTTCACTCTCAAATCCTAGTCCAAAACTCCCAAATTCCTCCTTAGAAACACATAAACTAGGTGGGCAATTCAATGGGTAAATAATATTATTGAATAAAAATAACAAAAGAGGCTTACCTCAAGAATTCTCGTGAAATCCCTCTCAAAAATCGTCTCCAACCGAGCTTGCAAGTCCAAAAATCATAAAAATATTGGAACCCTTGAATTTTTAAACACTGCCAGTGGTTCTGCTTCTGCGGTCCATTCAGCCACTTTTGCGGTCAAAAAACCGCTTCTGCGGAAAACACTCAACCCCCGACCTCGCGCACCTGCGGCCAATCTTCCGTATCTGCGGGTGCGCTTCTGCGAGAAATCATCCGCTTTTGCAGACCTCAGCCTAGCCTCCCATAATCCGCATCTGCAGAGACCTTCCCCGCAGATGCGATAATTCCTTCGCACCTGCGACACTTCCCAACTCTTCCTAGACTGCACCTGCGACCATGTCTTCGCTTTTGCGATCACGCACCTGTGACCAATCTTCCGCAAGTGTGATGGCACCAGACATCAACAACCTATAAATTCTCCTAAGTCCAATTCCATTTCGATATCCATCCGAAACACCCCTAAGGCCCCTGGGGCCTCAACCAAATCCAACAAGTCCCAAAATACGGTACGAACTTAGTCGAGGCCTCAAATCACATCAAACAACATTAAAAATACGATCATGCCCCAATTCAAGCCTAATGAACTAAGGAATTCCAACTTCTACAATCGATGCCGAAACCTATCAAATCAACTCTGTTTAACCCCAAATTTCGTACACAATTCATAATTGACATAACGTAGTTATTCCAACTTCCGCAACCAAAGTCTGAGCCCGGTAACCACAAAGTCAACTCTCAGTCAAACTTCTGAACTCTCCAAACTTCTAATTTTCCAACTTTTACCATTTCAAGCCAAAATCACCTACGAACCTCCAAATCAATATCCGGACACACTCCTGTGTCCAAAATCACCATACAGAGCTAACATAACCATCAAAACTCCATTCTGGAGTTGTTTACTCATAAGTCAACATCAGGTCAAGTCTTTCGACTTAAGCTTCTAACCTTGGGACTAAGTGTCCCAATTTATTCTGAAACATCCTAGGAACCATATTAACTGCTCCGATAAGTCACATAACAATAATTGAGCATAGAATAAGTAGTAATTGGGGGAACAAAACTATAACATTCAAAAATATCGGTCGGTCGTTACAAGTTTGCTACAAATGCAAACTTCCTAGTCAGATTGCAATCTTGGAAGAAGATTTTGGTCTTGTCCTCACTATGAAGTATGTTTCAGGTTCTAATTTGGTCGATTAATATGAATTTTAGTGTTAAATTAAAGTTACTTTATTATCCTTACTGTATTCTTTAAATTTTAGGCCACGAATTTGAATTTTTCAGATGGAGAGACAAGTAAAGTGTTGATGAAAGATCAAAGTTTATTATTTCAAAATCGGTGAACAAAATCAAAGAGTTAGAAGAAAATTACGAGTGTCTTAATATGTATTTGGATGATCTTGAAGATTCAAAAGAGAAGAGTATGAAGGAAAAAAATAGAAGGAACTCGTGTAGAAAATTCATTTAGTGTACTATGATTTGCGTAGTTGTTGTGTGTGTTAGTAGCTTAATCCAAGTTGGAAATTTGAAGAAAAATCAAATGGATCTGCCATAGTAGGTAATTATTGTCGTAATAGAACATCACTTTGGTTGTTGTAATGGAACTTCACTAATGTCGGACATGCTAAGTTAGACGTGTTTTGGTTGTCAACTTCATTTTGGTAATGGAACATCATTTTGATATTGTATGGAACTTTAGTTTGGTTGATCTCACAATTCTTTTCTTGTCAACTTCACTTAGTATTGTTTGAGCAAATTTTGGCTAAAAAAGAAGCCTCTTTGCAGTAAAGTTAGCACACTGCCCAGCACTTCGTAATATCCTAACCAATCGTGTATGCATAAAACACTTAACTTCTACTACCTTGAATCTAAGTTACTTAAAAATTTAGCAGCAACACAAATGTCAGTCCAAATTCAGTAGGAACACAAATTTCAGTCCATAATTCCAGAATTCAAGGATACTAGAACTTATATTCAAGACTATATATGAACACAAAGCTTCAAAATTACATTTAAATACCGGGTATTTGCAGTACCAAAACAACAAAAATAATGGTACCATTCTAACAAGAATACAAATAGTAGCTTCATATGAACAATTCCACTAGCTTCATATGATAAAAAACACCATAGGAGAAGTAAAACAGTAGGGCTATAGTAATTTCCATGGGTCTCGAGGTTGTGAACAAGTGGTATTTTGGTTTGGGTTGTTTGAACCGGTAGACCTTGATTGATCTTTAATTTCTTGAAGCCTTCTTATTGTGATTGCTTGTTTTCCTTTCCACTTCAGTCCACTTGTTGGTTTGAAACCAATATCACCAGTTACATCAGATGAACTTGTTATCATTGTTAATGATCTAGTGGATACTACTCTGCTACTTTGTATTCTAGGCTATACAAAAATAGCTTAGTAAGTTTAAAGTACAGTGAGAAAGATAATAGCAGATATAATTGCATCAACACTTCCATTAAAAGTTGTGAAGCCATTTTCAGCTTGAAACATACCCATTCCCCCACCCCTTCCCCTTCCTCTAGTAGCAATAGATGAATTAGGTGTAATAGATAGATTAGGTGCATCATATGCATTACGTGCAGAACATGAAAACCAAATTTCAAGTGAATGATGTGTTCCACTACCTTCCCTTGCCCTTACTCTTCCTCTTTCTCTAGTACTTGATGAAATTCTATCAGCAGTAGAAGGATTAGGTATAGCTCTTAATGAAAATTTAGCAGCAATAGAAGAGTTAGCAGATGCACTAAGTGCAGTATTAGGAGCAGAACATTAGAATCAATTGCCAAGTGAATGATGTGTTGAAGCTGATGGAAATTCAGCAACAATAGATGCACTAGGTGCAGTATCAGGTGCATTATTAACAGATGCATTAGGTATTTTCCTGGGTCTACCTCTCCCTCTTTTTATTGCATGCTCACCTTCATTGGTAGTTGGTTTCTAAAAAAAACCAGTTAGATAGTGCACTGAATTTAAAAGAATTCATACAAAATAGAATATATTGCCTCTGGTCTACTCCTCTCCCTTCCTGAACCTGATGGTTTTGCAAAAGTTGTTTATGAACTAGCACCAACTCTATCACTCTTTGGACACCTTTTGTTGTGACTCCTCTTTTGGCAGATGCTACATGTCATTTCAAGACCAGTTTTGGGCAATTTACGAGACTTCTTGTTTCGGTTGCCTCTTTTCTTCTAATATTTTTTGGCCTACGAAGCATACTTTTGACCGTTGGTGGTACAACAAAAGAATTAGTAGATTCGGCCCACATTGGCATATTATTTAGTGGTTCAATGAAATGAGAATAAGTTTCCAAGTACGTCTTCTTGTTATAGCAACTATTAATGAAATCCGTTGGATCAACATTGTCATAATACATGCACATATGGCATGAGGACATGGTATTCCCTTTAGCATCCAATATCTATAATTACAGAACTTTTATTTTAGACACACGGTATGTTGTTTACTAATATTCATCACTACATATCCTGTTTGTCATTAAACTCAAAGGTACATCTTATTGACTTTTCAATATGTCCTCCGATATCTTTAATACCATTAGAGAGATGTTGTTGATCCATATTTTTTATACTTCCCTTAATGTAGCTATTCAGATCATCACCTTCATTCTTATCGCTTGAAGTATGGTAATAATGTTCGTGTGCTTGCTGCTAGGATCCAAGCATTAAAACTCCTACACGTGTTATTATCCACTACATCATACTTGACTTCACAATTAAAATACACCTTGCACCAATACTCCTTGTCATAGTATAGTAGATTATCCACTATGTTCTTTTCAAGCATTGAGAGTATTTTTAGATTTTTTTTAAAATTCAGTCTCATAAGTGCTTCTAGCACACTTCCAAAATAAGTTCCCCTTTGAAGCCCTCTCCATTTCTTTGACCAATTAGGTAAGATGTGCCTAGCACACATCCTTTGTTCACGGCCTGGGAAAAACTCTTTAATTGTTGAATTCAATCTCTGTAGATTACATAGTACATAAAAACAAAAATTAAAGAAAAGCCAATCCGCCCTAATGAAAGAATGTATTATAAAAATTGAATGAATTGAATAAACCTTTTTCATATCAGCAATCAAAGTGAAACTTGTGTCATCTCCTAATCCCAAGTCTTCCTTAAGCAAAGTTAGAAACTATGATCAGGTAGTTTTTTTTCTCATATTCAACTACTGCCAAGCAAGTGGGAGCATTTAGTTATTATCATCCTTAGCCACTACAACTAGTAATTGCCCCCTTCTTACACCCTTCAAGAAACAACCATCCAAGCCTATGCATTTCCTACACCCTACGAATGCTTTCTTTATTGCATCAGAACAGATGTAGAAGCTTTCAATACTGGCCTACCAACTTCATCAGCTTCACCAAGCTTCACAATACAAGTGCTCCTCAGGTTGGTCCTTAATAACTCATCCATGTAATCAAGAATTCTCCCAAACTCATCATTATGATCACCCATAATTTGGTTCAATACTTTAGCTCTTACTCCTACCCATGATCTTATCAACATGAATTTTAAATTTCTTCCTAATTAAATCTTGCAACATGAACGCTCTTATGTTAGTTTGTTCAATTATTATATCTTTAAAGACCTTGGCGAAGAATTGAGACTTGCACAAGTAAATCCTGGACTCCTTCTCACTCTTGTGTACTGGATTGTAAGTCCTTATAACAAAATTATTACTTACACTATCCAGGCTTGAAAACAAAATCCATGAGCAATTCTCCTTGTTGCACTTCACCCTAGCTCTAGTTGGCTCATTCACATGCTTTCAAATTTGAACCTTCCTCTGAAGTGCATACCTGGTCACTGCATATCTAAAGTCATGTACACTCTCAAAAAGTATACCCAACTACCACACAATTTTTTTATAAGTGGGATCAAACTTCATACTCTTAGTATATTTAGATCTTCTTTTTGATCGATTTACCCTCCTCTGTTCCCCATTTTTATGCCAACATTCATTTTCATTAGTTTCAAAGTGTTACGATCTTATTGAGTGATTATTATATCAGCAATAGGATGGTCAATAGCTCAATTCCAAGCTGGTTAGGTAGAAGTCGTTAGAAGTAGTTAAAGGGGTTAGTTTTCCAAAAGTTAGTTGTAACTAACTTTCCCGCCAAAAATGCTCCCCTATATAGTTGATTTCCTCTATTGTAATTTTCAGTTTTTAGATGTTAAATCAATAAAACGAGTCTTCTCTCTTCTCTTTCAATTACATTCAACTATTAGTTGAGCTTAGAGAATCTGTTCAAGGGTTTCTTCTACTTTTACCCTTTAGGTTTCTCTTCCTTCCATTGTTCTTAGCTCGAATTAGTCTGGTTCGTATCATTGGTATCAGAGCCCTCGTTCCTTGGATCTGTGATAATAGGCGATTCATAACACTCGAATGCACGAATTGAGGAAAGAAGTCGATAGCCTCAAAGGATAGATAGAAGCAGTTACATCATCTGTGTCGGAGTTACAGAAATCGGTAGACACTATGGTAGCTCAGGCTATGGATGAAATTAGGAAGTTGCTAGTGGGAAATTTGACTACAACTGGAGTTCAAAATCATGAGTTTCCTGTGGAGAACGAAAGACCAGAGGTTGTAGGCCCTCGTCCTAGAGGCTATCAACCTCCCAATCGTGATTATCATACGGAATTTCCTGTTTTTGATGGCGTAGGGTTGAAGGATTGGTTGTACAATTGTGAGCAGATCTTCGCACTTGAGGAAACACGTGAGGATTCTAAAATGAGGGCAGTTTCGTGCAAGCTGGAGGGAAGGGCACTACAATGGCACCAATCTTATATGAAGCACAGGGTGACTAGAGATTGGCCACGATGGGGAGAGTATGTAGCTTGCTTGTATGCCAAATTTGGATCTGAGCTATTCGATGATCCCATGGGAGATCTCAAAGATCTAAGGCAGGTAAGTTCAGTACAAGACTATGTTGACTTGTTTGATGAATTGCTGGCTAGGGTGGAATTATTAGAAGAATATGTTGTTAGCTGTTTTATTAGAGGTTTGAAGCCAGAAATTGGCTTACCTGTTAAGATGTTAGCACCTAGATCTCTCGTTAAATCCATTAGTTTAGCTAGGATTTAGGAGCAAACATTGGTAGTTTAGAAACAAGTCTTCATGATTCCATCAAATCCCTCCTATTCAACTAAGAATACCCCAAGATTTTCATCTGTTAATCCCCAACCTTCCCAATCAAATACCACGATAACCCCCAGATTTAGTCAACCCTTCAATAAAACTTCCAATTCCCAAACCTTATATGATAAACCTACCTATAAAAATGCCAAAAGACTAACCCCTGCTGAAATGGAGGAAAGGAGAAGTAAAGGGCTTTGTTACAATTGTGATGAGAAATACAGCTTTGGTCATGTGTGTAAAAATAAAGACAGTTGTTTTCTATGGAGGTGGAGGAGGGATTAGAAGAGGTGGAGATGGAACAAGATGTGATGCTGGATCCAGCACAATTATTGAGCATGATTGGTCAAGGATTGGAGACTGATGCTGAGGGATCCATTCTGCCTCATGTCTCAGTTCATGCTATGAATGGCCTGCATGATTTTAGGACTATGAGAGTAACTGTGTCAGTCAAGGGCAAGGTTGTGCAAGTGTTGATTGATACTGGCAGCACTCATAATTTCTTGGATCTCAACACTGCCAAGAAGTTAGGGTGTGTTTTGACTGCAATAGCTCCTTTTGCAGTCTCAGTAGCTGATGGAAATAAGGTGCAGAGCCACTATATTTGCAAGAAGTTGGTGTGGAAAATGCCGGGAGTCTCTTTTGATTCTGATATGCTAGTATTACCTATTGGTGGATGCAATATGGTCCTGGGCATTCAATGATTGATAACCTTAGGGGATATTTTATGGAACTTTAGGAAGCTCAAAATGGAGTTTACTATCATGGGCAAGAAGATTTCTCTCAGAGGAATTCAGCCTCCTGCTGCCAAACTCATCCAAGCAGGAAGTATGGATAAATTGCTGACCAAACCAGCAGAGTTGTGTATGATCTCAGTAGGGGTATTATCAGAAGGGAATTGTATGGATACTGCTGAACTGTTCTCATTGGGAGGTCAGGATCAAGATCAAGAAAAGTCCCTAGAACTTGACTTGATTCTACAAAAGTATCATGATATTTTTGAGGAGCCTAAAGGACTACCACCTTCAAGGGATCATGATCATAGGATTGTTCTAAAAGAAGGCACTGCTCCAATCAACAAAAGGCCCTACAGATACCCAGCTATCAGAAGGATGAGATTGAGAAGATGGTGGATGAAATGCTGAATTCTGGAGTAATAAGGCATAGCACCAGTCCTT